GCCCGCGGGGCCTCCCAGGCACAGGCCGCCCTCTCCTTTCCCTCGCGACGCCCAGGACGCCGGCGGTTGATTGCCGCGAGCGGGGCCAGGAGTCCTCGGTCACCCAGCTCCCCAGCCGGGTCCCTGCGCCCGAGAGGCTGCACCTGGGCTGGGGGAGCCCCCCGTCCTTCTAAGTGTATCCTCCAGGCTGGGCAGGGGGGCATGTTCGCTCCTCCCTTGCTACTCCAGGGCAGTCGTCGGATTTCTCCCGCACTCGTGCATTTTTTTTTTTTTTTTTGCCCGGGAATCACGTTGAGTCTTGGCGCTCAGTTTTGCAAAATTATTTTCACTTGGCGCCGAGGGCTCATCGGGGCGGGAGGGAGGGAGCCGCCACTTCCACCCTCGAAGAAAACAACTTTTCCCCGTGCTGACCTCCCTTCCTCGCCGGCAGGTGTGCGGGGCCTCCGGCCAGTTCGAGTTGGAGATCCTGTCCATGCAGAACGTGAACGGGGAGCTGCAGAACGGGAACTGCTGTGGCGGTGCCCGGAGCCCGGGGGACCGCAAGTGCGCCCGCGACGAGTGTGACACGTACTTCAAAGTGTGCCTCAAGGAGTACCAGTCCCGCGTCACGGCCGAGGGGCCCTGCAGCTTCGGCTCGGGGTCCACTCCTGTCATCGGGGGCAACACCTTCAACCTCAAGACCAGCCGCGGCAATGAACGTAACCGTATCGTTCTGCCTTTCAGTTTCGCCTGGCCGGTGAGTGACGGACGCGGGCTGGGAGGCCGCGCCGAGCTTCGCACCCGCGTCTGCCGAGCCCTGCTTTCTCTTGCGAGAGGGATATGAGAGTCTTGGCTTCACGCGGCGCTCGCTCGTAGGGGAAGATTTTTGGGGGTTGTGGGGGTTAGGGAGCAAGACTCGGCAGGCCCATCCCCGCTGCTTTTTGCTAAGAGCACAGGAAAATGGGTACCCCAGAGATTTGGGAGCAAAGCTCCCAGGAAAGCGGGTTTAACTTGCAACTTGAAGGCCCCAGAGTAAACCCCCCCTCCCCCCTCCCAAACCAGGAGGTCATTATCGATGATCCTTGCTTAACCAATTAAACGCTGTGGAAGGCGACTCGGCTCCTTTTTGGCCTTCGAACGACGTCCAAATTGGCACCCTCCCCTTTCCCGTGGACGGCCGGGAGGGCGGGTGTGTCCTTCCTGGAGGGTGTGGAGGGAACCCGTTTCCCGCTGCTCCCCAGGAGATTTTGGTGCGTGCGGGGGCGCTCTCCGGGCTGGGTGCAAGGGCTCGGGGGCGGCCGCCGGAGCGGGGAGGGTCTCCGGGCCTTCGCCCGAGCTGCCTCCGCCCCCTGCCGGTCCCTTCCTGCCCTCGCCCCCGTGCGGTGTAGCCTTGTGGCCTCGCTTCCAGTGGTTCCCGGGCTCTGAACAGCTGTGTTTGCAAACTTCCCCGGGAAGGGCGGGGGTATGCCCTTGTCCGGAGAGCACATGGTCCCCGCAAGTCTTCAGGGGCGTGCCAGAGCCTGGAAGTGGCGGTCCACTAGAGGCAGTTACTGCGGGTGCAAGTCCATGGACCCCCGTCTGAGAGCCTCTGGAGGCTCCGGGCGCCGCTGGCAGACCCCCATAGCGAGGCCCTTGCAACATCCCGAAATGGGTGGAAGGAAGATGAATGCGATTGCAGAAGAGGAGGAAAGGGGAAAATGTTGGTGCCCTCTGTCCCTTTCCTGCTGTCCAGGAGGCGTGACTCATTGCCAGGACTGTGGCTTGGCCCAGCCTGTGCTGGGAGGGTGGGTGGTGAGAGGGGGAGCTCTGTGCCTAGGGGAATACTCTCCACCACGTGCTCTGATGGGGTGCACTCTGCTGCCTCCTATCCGTGGGCTGGGGCTGTGATTCCCAGCTGGGGGTGGGGAGGACAGGGCAGAATTAGAATGTCTGCTTTGGTGTACATGAAGCTGGGGGTGGCTCTCACGTTTGCAGGACCTGGCTTTTTAAAGTGCCCTCTCTGCCTCGGAGGAGATAAGACAGTTATCAAAAACATGCCATTAAGAGGGGTTTAGAAAAACCTGTGCTATGTGTCGCTCTCAGAAAGAAGGGCTGCTTCTGTTACGGGATTTCATTTTTGTAAAGCACGTTTATCTTGTTAATCCCCTATTAGGGAGAACTTTAAGCTAAAGAGGTTAGCCACATTTTAAATCCGGCTGGGCCCACATTGACTGTGAATACTGACTGCCCTTCAACGTGTGTTTGGAGTTGAAGGAAGGGGCCTGCAGGTGGTTCCACCCTCCCAGGCTCAGTCCCGAGCCCCTCGCTTTTCACAAGACCATAAAAGGAATCTTATTAGTGATGTGGAAAAGCTGCCGGCCTGGCTGAGGTTCATTTTGGAGAGTAGGGTCAGAGGATGGGTGGAAACCGGGAGGGAGCCTTGCTCCCCAGGCTGGCTGCGGAAAGTGACCTGGAAGGTGTGTCTGTCCCCTTTTGACACTTGGCAGAGAGTCCTGATGAGGAAGGAGCGGAAGTGGCATGTGAGGGCAGAGAGATGATTGATTTGCTGGTGCTCTTCTGTGGTTTCAGGCCCACGGGTCACCAACCATGAAATAGACTTTCTAGAATGGGGGGACCGCTTGGTCTACACTGAGTGTGTGGTTCCTTTGAAGTTAGGCCAAATGCATGTATCACTCATAAACAAGTCTCCACCCTGCTGCCCCAAAAAGGCCTGCTGTGAAATATAAGCTTTACTTCCCAAGAGAAACCAGAGTTCAGGTGTATTGTTTTAGTTTATTTTTCTGAGTGCGGTTGGAGAAACAACCACAGCCTGTAACTTTCAAGAATGATTCCAGGGTGAGTGTTAACTGAAATGGAAACACTCAGGTAGCCGAGTAAACATGGAAATAAATAAGCACAGCTTCATTTACTTTGGCAATTAAATATTAATAAGCCTGTCTCTTTAAAACGGATTTTCTTGAATAGCGAGTGACTGAACTTGGTACAGAATTCAAGCTTTACAGCATATGTGGCTTAAAAACAAATCAAACCTTGAACTGCCTGCCACCTGATTTCCCAGCCCCCCAGGCAGCCTCAATTTCTGTTATCGTGGGTCCTCCCAAATTTGCTGACAATGGAAGAGCTGTGGTTCAGGGGCACGGTCAAAGGTCATTTTAGAAGGTCGTGTGATTCACATCTTTTGTTGAGAATTATGACCCTGTCAAACAACTGTTCGTGTTCTGGGGAGGAAGAGGAGGAAGTGATTTGGTCAGATACGGAATAGAATCCACATCCCAGTGTCCACGTGGGAAGCTCTGTAGAGGTGGGACTGCCTGCCAGATAGGATAGAATTATGTCCCACTTGGATCTGCTGCCCCAGCCCCAGCTTTGTGGTAGTTTTCATTGATGGTTTATAACAGCAATACTGATGCTGCTCCTAGGGGCTTGTCTTGAAGCAACCAGCCTGATTTATGATCCTCCAATCGGGGTCTTGGTGATAACACACATGGTGAGAGGTAATTGGGCTTAATGAGAAATAATTTGGGAATAACCATTTATAAATCACTGAAATGGGTAAGTTGCCCCTCCCACTAAATCTCAGTAGTGCCTGTTTATTAAAAATACATTACCAGTGTAATTACCACTACTCAGCCCCTAAAGCTTTTCAGGAACTCAAAACCCCTGCTAGTTTTATGATGTCCCGCTGGCCCTAGGGTGAAATGAATCTAGAGATACTTTGGGGGAAGCAACTGAGATACAGTATATGGTCTCTTCGCCTCATATTTAAATGCCATTGGCACTGATAACAGGCTTGCTGAGATCAGCTTAATTTTTAAAGAAAATACAATGAAATGTGATTCTTGTGTACCAGAGGGATGCCAGTGTTGGCACCCTTCACTCTTAAAGGCCTGAATGAGCAACTGCTAGGGATTTGGGTAAATTGGATGCCACAGGTTAATCAGAATATGATTAGCAGTCCTTGGTTTTATGCCTTCTGTGTTTCTAGTCCCTAAGCCTTGACAGATGTGGTGTGGACATGTGGCGGGCAGAGGGAAGGGGTCTTCATTTGAGCCAGCTCATTTCTGCGGCCAGTATGTGCAACCCATGGGGTTCGCATGCATACAAACAGTGCACATGTGTGTACATGCTCAGAGCAAGGGACTTTGTGCACTTGGAGAAACACCCTTTGCCCTAAGACACTTACCTGAGGAAAGTGATGAAATGACTGCATTGCAAAACTGGGCTTAGGAATGTAGTAGAGTTGTGCTCACTTTGTACCAAGTGTCTGCAGCATGGCTGCTCCCAAATGGAATCCTTATATTCAAGGCACTTGGCCTCTAACATCTCTTCTCTTCCAGGTGTAACCTTCTCTGTGTTTTCTTCCTCCTTGTTGTCTTGTTTCTTAGCAACTTATTCAAACCTCCAGCACTTACATGAGTTTACAACCCACCAACTCCCCACCCATAATTCTACAGGGACTTCAAACATTTTTAGAGATCGGTGAAGCTTTTGGCAAAAGGACTTTGGGGGAGTGGTATGGGTAAGGAGGAGAAGCAGCAACTACTTAAGAGGTGGTGTGTAGCCTCTTAGAAAACCAGCGAACTGAATACTGCCTAGAATCTTTGCAGCTAAGAGTGGTAAAGGAGACCCTTTGGATAGAAGGCAAGTGGAAGGTGTAACGTGGAGGAAAGGTGTTATGCACGCAGAAAATGAAGCCAAGGCAACAAAGAGTCTTCAGAGCCCTGATCTGGGAATGGGAATGCAAACAGAGGCCTTGATTGGATTCACAGCAGCCACAGGCCCATTGAAGAAGGGCGGAACTTGGTTCCAATGTCAGGCTTTCAAGATTGGCTGCAGTGTAAGAATGCATGTTCTTTGGATGTGCCTACAATTAGCATGGTAATCCACAACGGCAAATATTTCTGAGAATTCCCCCTTGGTGAATTTCAGAGGCATGTTCCTACCCCTGCTCCCCTCCACCCCCAACCCCTAGGTTAGGTTCTAAGCTGCTGAGAAAAGTGACAGCTTTTAACTACATTTTAAACTTAAGCTTTTTTCAACTTTAGGGAGATGTATTAGGATGCATGGGAAGTGATGATTCTTGTGTTTCCTAGAATGGTAGTGGAGGTGGGGTAGGGTTCTGGGTTCGGAAATGTACCGCGTTTATCTTGGCTTTTGGGGCCAAGTGGCCCTGTTGTGACTTCCTTGCTGGTTTCTGATCACTGCGTGGACTGCCTTGAGGCCCTGGTTTTTATGGTGTCAGTGACATTTGTCACCAGTGCAGTGCATGTGCAGGGAAGAAATTCTGCAACATGGTTCCCAGTGGTTAAAAGTGATATGTAAATAGTCAAACATTCAGAGCCCTCTACCAGCTCAGCCCAGTTTTTATGCACTTTTGGTAAATAAGTAGAAAGGCTTCTTGTTCAGGCTTGCTCGGTGTGAACCAGCGGTTGTGCTTGGCTGGCTTCTCGGCATTCTATCTATTAACCTCGCCACCCTTTTGTAACTGGTGCATTTAATTATCAGTGGGATGCTTTTCAAACAGGTAAGGGTAATGATGGGAAAGGGGTGGGGGCATCTCATTGAGTCTCAAATCTGGATTGAGCTCTGGGGCCGCTTGGTGGGTCTTTGAGGTGGGCTTTCATGAGAAAATCACCCTTTGTAACCAGATCGGACTCTATTGAAATGTCAAGCCCTGCAGGCTGAATGGCTCTCTATGACTACAGACTTCTTAGATTGGATGCTCTGGGGTAGTTGTCCTTTCTCCATGCCTCACCTGGCCCAAACCCTGCGATACGTGAATTGTTTGTGTGAGTGTGCGTGTGCCCACACATGGAGTCTCTGGCACCTTTACTTGATGTTTGTGACTGGAATATTTTATACTCTGGCCGCCCAGACACAGGCAGGACAATAGTGTGGCCGAAGGGACTGAAATGAGGATTATAGAGAATAATGTGGCGTCTCCAAAAATAATGCTAATACAGGGCCGGCAACAGGAAGCGACAGTTGAGTCAGCAGAGAGTACACGGCCCCAGACAATCCCGGGGCGAGTGGCTCTGTACAATGGCCCCGTGGGCACTTGGGGCATTCCCAGGGTGTGAGTTCCTCGGGCCGCCTGTCGCGGTGGCCTGGGGTTTTGGACGCTGCACGCGTGCCGTTTGGATGGCGGTTTGTTTGTGTCCGTCAGCTTGGCAGGAGTGGAGGCAGCCGCTTCTCAGGGCTTGGTTTGGCTGCCACTGTTGCCAGGAAAAGGAAGCTCCCAGCTGCCAACACAATTACCTTTGTTTCTTACATCCCCCTTCTTAATGTGGCAATTAAGTGCTTACCACTCTGCCTGGTGCCAAGGTAACCACCAAGGAGTGTGATGGGCACAGCACACAGCCCTCCCACAGCCTCCGTGCCGAGGCCAGGGAGGTGCTTGGAGGGCACCGGGTGGCCCTGGAATGCCTTGGGGCTTGGCTGTCAGGAATCTCCTAGGTAAAATTCCACAGAAGTCCTCCCCAGAGGTCACTCTGAAAGCCGACCATCCCTCCTTCCTGCTGCCTGAGAAGGAGAACCTGAGAACCAGCTGCTGTGTTGCCAGTTTCCATGGGCCTGGAGTTGGGAAGGGGCGGAAGTGATTCACTCTGCCAACCCAGACTGAAGGTCTGTTAGCAACCCATCCTTCCTGAGGCTTTGCCCTCAGGCCATTTTTTTCTGGTCAAACTTAATGGGTGGAGGGGGGCGTGGAGATGAAAGCCAGGTGACTCTCCATAAGAGTCTTAGTTTTATAGCATGAAACCAACTAAAATTCAGGTATTTGCTGTTTCTTTTTTCTTGTGTGGGTTTTGTGGTATGAACTCGTTATCTTGCCTGGGACTCCGTAGCAAGCCCTTGGGAATGCCTGGTGCCTCTGCTTGGGGTCAGATTCGCAGTGGCTAATTGGGTGTGACACGAGCCCAATGGATTGTTGATTTCAGCCTGGTACCCTACCTTGATGGCATGAGGTGCGTGTGGTCTGGGTCTCGGAGTCCACGTATATCCTGGGATATACAGAGGTCAAGCGTGGGCCTGGGAAAAATTAAAGTTCCCTCGCAACTAATAATCATTGTCAAATTATCTTGATTGTCGATCTACAGTGTGGGGATGGAGTGGGTGGTAAGAGTGCCTCCTAATAGGGGCCTGGAAAGGGAGCCCTTTTCTCTGAAGGCTGGGCAGGAGGAATCCTCCTGGCTCCGGAGGTGAATTCTAGAACCACAATCCCTTCTCTGAAACAAGGGAAGAGAAGGTCCAAGGCTTTTTTGTTTTTCTGGCAAGGCTTTGTGGCCAACACCACAGTCTCCAGCCCTCGCCCCATATCCACCTCCGAGCCAGAGGCAGTGATGGAAAAATCATGACACGCAGCGTCTCCAGCTCTGCCACGCTCTTCCCTCCCGGTGGGACAGTGCTGGTCAGCAGCTTCTGAAGTCTTTCCAGTTCTGGCAAGGATGAGCCGGGTAGACAGCTTGGTCTTCCAAGTTCTTGCGCAAGACCAAAGGATGCCTTCTCCCTTGAGCATGAAGCCGAGTTAATGCAGTCACACCAGCTCAGTCCCGGGACGCCTTCCCTTTCCATGGGGTTTGCCGGCATTATGTGTTTAGTGCTCTGCAAGTCTGTCAAAACTCTGGGTATCGATGCATCTAATCAGGGGATTAATTACAACAATATGTGGAAGCGAAAAACGTGGGTCTCAACGTGACCAGCAAATGAAGGGATTAATTATACGGAATCGGGCCCAGGTCTGGCCTCCTTTTGACTTGGCTCGCCTCGAATCAGTAGAGAAATAAAATTTCTTGCTGTGCTCAGGGGAGAGTCCTGTAATTTGTAGGAAGTGCTAGGGAACCAAGAGGCTGTAGATAAGGTGTAACTTTCACTAATAAAATATTAACAAGGACAATGAGTTTGGACCGATGGCCACTCACAGGAGAGGGCTGGGCATGTGCCCTGGCTTGCCCAGTTTTGCTTGCTCTTCTGAGCATTTTCCCACAGTTATCAGTGAACGAAATGGAATCCTACTCTGCTTTGAGTATGAAACATATTTCGGCTGAATTCCAAGGCAGGATCTATCACAAGATGTTTTTATTCTCGGAGGCGGCCTGCTGGGTTGCTATGTGAGCAGGAAGCTTTGCTTGAGTTATGAATGAAGCTCCCTTTTCCACACCGTGTTTGCCTTCACCTCGTAGGTGTCATTTCTTGGTGCGTGTGTTTCTGGCGGCATGGCATTGTTTGATTAATATGCTCAACTATTCCTGATGGGGGGGTACCCGACCACCAGTGACGGTGCAGGGGGAACATAAAAGGGTTCCTGCGCCTTTTGTCCCTACCCCCTGTGGCTATATTTCTCCAGCGCCAAGATAGCTGAAAGTTTATTTAAACCCTGGTGTTTCGTGAGACTGACCTCATCCAAAATTACAAACGAAGATTGGAGTAAAAGTGAAGATTGGAATAAACTGGGGAGAATTTACTGATGGCTTGGATTTGGGGGCAGGTGGGATTCTGAGATAAGCCTGGAAGATAAAAGGTGCCTTCCGTATAATAGCGGGCACCACGCCAGGGGCCAAGGAACTCGTTTCGCTAGCGAACTCGGATTATTCCTGGAATGTTAGATCTTATTGACAGATAAGTTTATCAATAAATATAACCCTCAAATGAGTGCTTATTTCTCCCTTTTGTACTTTCTTCCACAGGGCCTGCCCTGCCCCCCTGCCCCCACCAGGCACCCCAAGTTAGGTTGCCGCCTTTGTCTTGGGAGTCTCTGCACCTACCCCCTCCTGCTTCCTAGAGTCACCTGATACTTGTGGGAGCCGAGATGGTCTCACACAGACAGGGCTTTCAAAGGGGTTCTGAAAAGGAAAAGGGGGCCTCCCTGGGGACTGCCCCACCAGGGCCCAAAGTGTAACCTTAGCAATACCCGGCCCTCCTGGATGGGCCCCCTCCCCCGGCACAAAGACCCGGTTAGGTTTGCTGAGAATAAATTCTTTGTGTGTGTTTCTCATGCACTAGAATTAGGGTCTGGAAAGTTGTGGAAAACTGTATGCTAAGTGCTCACCAATAGGTAGGTGGCATCTCCTGATGAAGGCTTGGAGCTGCCTGCAGGATGACCACTGTGGGTCCCCTCCAACCCCCCCATCCCCCGCCAGATGAAAGGAGTCAGGCTGGGGTGGGTGCTGGAGTGGGGAGGGGAGTTGGGTAACCTCAGTTCAACAGCAAAAGAATTTTCATTTCGGCTTTATGGTTTTCTTTGGTGGGGTATGTGAGGAAGCCAGGAAAGTAGGACCCTGAGAGCTGACCCCTCTTTCTGAATACTAAGTGTCATTTCTCTCTTTGCAGAGGTCCTACACTTTACTCGTGGAGGCGTGGGATTCCAGTAACGACACTCTCCGTAAGTATCACAGCGGAGAACTTGTCCAAGTGCACGTTTCTGGAAGAGCGGTGCTTGCCATGCAGTGCCTGTCTGAGCTGGGCCTGTCTCCTGGGTGTCAGGGAACTTCAACCACCCCCCACATTTGCCCCCGCCCCCTAGGTCGAGCCTCGCAGTGGCGTCTTTTCCATAACTTCCCCTGGGCGTCTTGCTTAGACTATTAAGTGGCCAGGCCTGATTCCCAGTTAACTCGGTCCCTGAATATGGGACCTAGATTATCTTTGGGATAGAGATCTTAATGCTTTTACAACTTTAAAACCTGTAGACGGCTAAAGGATCAAAGTAGTGACTTTTTAAAAGTCCATTTAAACTTTAAGTGAGGGTCTAATCTCTCATCGGAAAGATAAAGCCGGCAAAGGTGGCGCTGGTCTCTAAAGACCGACCTTGAATTTCACTCGGTGGGCAGGTGAGCTTCCAGCCGGTCCGGGTTTCCCACACTGCGCACCACAAACCTTTCATTGAAGCGGAATTCCAGAGCCTCCCAGCCATTGCACTTGCCTTGTCCCCCTGAGAAAGATGACTCTTGAGTGCAGGCTGCTTTTCAGAGGAGCGAGGGGTGGGTTTCGGTGGGGAAGCTGTGGAGGGCACCTATGGGAATCACAGCAGCCTGGCTATAAGGTAGTCTTTGCTCTTTAGGGGAACTTAAAAATGGTTTCCCTCCCTCGCCGAAACTGCGAGTTCCCTTTTTGTCAGCAGGATCCGGGTGGCCGTCATCGGAAAACCTGATTCACGCAGAAATCTCAGTCTGCGCAGGAGGAGAGGTTGAGCCAACATTTGTCTTTGCCGTCGGTTCTCTGAATGCCTCGTCCCTTTTGTTGCTCTGCCTCACTGACCCTTTCTTTGTGTTGTTGCTTCTAATGACATTCCCCACCTCCCTTTTCTCACCTGGCCTTTTTTTTAAAACTGCCTGGCTCCGGAGGTGAATTCTAGAACCACAATCCCTTCTCTGAAACAAGGGAAGAGAAGGTCCAAGGCTTTTTTGTTTTTCTGGCAAGGCTTTGTGGCCAACACCACAGTCTCCAGCCCTCGCCCCATATCCACCTCCGAGCCAGAGGCAGTGATGGAAAATCATGACACGCAGCGTCTCGAGCTCTGCCACGCTTTTCCCTCCCGGTGGGACAGTGCTGGTCAGCAGCTTCTGAAGTCTTTCCAGTTCTGGCAAGGATGAGCCGGGTAGACAGCTTGGTCTTCCAAGTTCTTGCGCAAGACCAAAGGATGCCTTCTCCCTTGAGCATGAAGCCGAGTTAATGCAGTCACACCAGCTCAGTCCCGGGACGCCTTCCCTTTCCATGGGGTTTGCCGGCATTATGTGTTTAGTGCTCTGCAAGTCTGTCAAAACTCTGGGTATCGATGCATCTAATCAGGGGATTAATTACAACAATATGTGGAAGCGAAAAACGTGGGTCTCAACGTGACCAGCAAATGAAGGGATTAATTATACGGAATCGGGCCCAGGTCTGGCCTCCTTTTGACTTGGCTCGCCTCGAATCAGTAGAGAAATAAAATTTCTTGCTGTGCTCAGGGGAGAGTCCTGTAATTTGTAGGAAGTGCTAGGGAACCGAGAGGCTGTAGATAAGGTGTAACTTTCACTAATAAAATATTAACAAGGACAATGAGTTTGGACCGATGGCCACTCACAGGAGAGGGCTGGGCATGTGCCCTGGCTTGCCCAGTTTTGCTTGCTCTTCTGAGCATTTTCCCACAGTTATCAGTGAACGAAATGGAATCCTACTCTGCTTTGAGTATGAAACATATTTCGGCTGAATTCCAAGGCAGGATCTATCACAAGATGTTTTTATTCTCGGAGGCGGCCTGCTGGGTTGCTATGTGAGCAGGAAGCTTTGCTTGAGTTATGAATGAAGCTCCCTTTTCCACACCGTGTTTGCCTTCACCTCGTAGGTGTCATTTCTTGGTGCGTGTGTTTCTGGCGGCATGGCATTGTTTGATTAATATGCTCAACTATTCCTGATGGGGGGGTACCCGACCACCAGTGACGGTGCAGGGGGAACATAAAAGGGTTCCTGCGCCTTTTGTCCCTACCCCCTGTGGCTATATTTCTCCAGCGCCAAGATAGCTGAAAGTTTATTTAAACCCTGGTGTTTCGTGAGACTGACCTCATCCAAAATTACAAACGAAGATTGGAGTAAAAGTGAAGATTGGAATAAACTGGGGAGAATTTACTGATGGCTTGGATTTGGGGGCAGGTGGGATTCTGAGATAAGCCTGGCAGATAAAAGGTGCCTTCCGTATAATAGCGGGCACCACGCCAGGGGCCAGGGAACTCGTTTCGCTAGCGAACTCGGATTATTCCTGGAATGTTAGATCTTATTGACAGATAAGTTTATCAATAAATATAACCCTCAAATGAGTGCTTATTTCTCCCTTTTGTACTTTCTTCCACAGGGCCTGCCCTGCCCCCCTGCCCCCACCAGGCACCCCAAGTTAGGTTGCCGCCTTTGTCTTGGGAGTCTCTGCACCTACCCCCTCCTGCTTCCTAGAGTCACCTGATACTTGTGGGAGCCGAGATGGTCTCACACAGACAGGGCTTTCAAAGGGGTTCTGAAAAGGAAAAGGGGGCCTCCCTGGGGACTGCCCCACCAGGGCCCAAAGTGTAACCTTAGCAATACCCGGCCCTCCTGGATGGGCCCCCTCCCCCGGCACAAAGACCCGGTTAGGTTTGCTGAGAATAAATTCTTTGTGTGTGTTTCTCATGCACTAGAATTAGGGTCTGGAAAGTTGTGGAAAACTGTATGCTAAGTGCTCACCAATAGGTAGGTGGCATCTCCTGATGAAGGCTTGGAGCTGCCTGCAGGATGACCACTGTGGGTCCCCTCCAACCCCCCCATCCCCCGCCAGATGAAAGGAGTCAGGCTGGGGTGGGTGCTGGAGTGGGGAGGGGAGTTGGTTGGGTAACCTCAGTTCAACAGCAAAAGAATTTTCATTTTGGCTTTATGGTTTTCTTTGGTGGGGTATGTGGGGAGGCCAGGAAAGTAGGACTGAGAGCCAACCCCTCTTTCTGAATACTAAGTGTCATTTATCTCTTTGCAGAGGTCCTATACTTTACTTGTGGAGGCGTGGGATTCCAGTAACGACACTCTCCGTAAGTATCACAGCGGAGAACTTGTCCAAGTGCACGTTTCTGGAAGAGCGGTGCTTGCCATGCAGTGCCTGTCTGAGCTGGGCCTGTCTCCTGGGTGTCAGGGAACTTCAACCACCCCCCACATTTGCCCCCGCCCCCTAGGTCGAGCCTCGCAGTGGCGTCTTTTCCATAACTTCCCCTGGGCGTCTTGCTTAGACTATTAAGTGGCCAGGCCTGATTCCCAGTTAACTCGGTCCCTGAATATGGGACCTAGATTATCTTTGGGATAGAGATCTTAATGCTTTTACAACTTTAAAACCTGTAGACGGCTAAAGGATCAAAGTAGTGACTTTTTAAAAGTCCATTTAAACTTTAAGTGAGGGTCTAATCTCTCATCGGAAAGATAAAGCCGGCAAAGGTGGCGCTGGTCTCTAAAGACCGACCTTGAATTTCACTCGGTGGGCAGGTGAGCTTCCAGCCGGTCCGGGTTTCCCACACTGCGCACCACAAACCTTTCATTGAAGCGGAATTCCAGAGCCTCCCAGCCATTGCACTTGCCTTGTCCCCTTGAGAAAGATGACTCTTGAGTGCAGGCTGCTTTTCAGAGGAGCGAGGGGTGGGTTTCGGTGGGGAAGCTGTGGAGGGCACCTATGGGAATCACAGCGGCCTGGCTATAAGGTAGTCTTTGCTCTTTAGGGGAACTTAAAGATGGTTTCCCTCCCTCGCCGAAACTGCGAGTTCCCTTTTTGTCAGCAGGATCCGGGTGGCCGTCATCGGAAAACCTGATTCACGCAGAAATCTCAGTCTGCGCAGGAGGAGAGGTTGAGCCAACATTTGTCTTTGCCGTCGGTTCTCTGAATGCCTCGTCCCTTTTGTTGCTCTGCCTCACTGACCCTTTCTTTGTGTTGTTGCTTCTAATGACATTCCCCACCTCCCTTTTCTCACCTGGCCTTTTTTTTAAAACTGATTCAGAGAATGGTGGATGCCCAGAGAGGGTCTGGTGAGGGCTTGGTATAGGCCAGATGGGCTGCTTCTGGGCTGTCTGGCTCTTTGGTTCGCCCGAGGCCACCCAGTCCTTGCTGAGCCCAAGAGTGCCAGAGGCTCCAGGCTGTTTGGCTCACTCCTCGCCTTGGCCCTGTGGACTTCCTCCCTGGGGGACACCCCTGGCCCACTGCGGTGTCGGGGTGTGTGACCAGCCTTGGTTGTGGCTGATGCCAGTCAGGATGCTGGACACCTGTTTGTTCTCCCCTCCCTCCCTTGCCACAGACGTTGGGATTGTGTGAGCGTTATGTCACTGTGACCTGCTTACACTGGTAACTAAGCATTGGGGGGAAGAGGGTGGGGAAGGGAGAAATGGCTTCTTCAGAAACCAGTGCAGACGTGCTGGGCTCCCCTCCACTGTAGATGTTAAAACAATCTGGAGTGAACATCCTCAGGGTTGAGCCTAGCTCATTGTAAGAGCTGGATCAGGACACCTGGTGGGCCGGCTAGGACTTCCTGGGCCTTTCCTGGCCCAGCAGGTCAGGTAGCTGTTTCCTGGGAAGCTGGTGCGCATACAGAGCTGTCCATGGTTATGTGCATTTTGGGGTCGCCCCATTTTGGAGCTCAGGGGGCATGGCATGTTTCATCTGTTGCTGGGGGTAGAGCCAGATTTCTGGAAGGGCACCAGGAGGACCTGGGGTAGGGATCCAGGGCTTGTGACCTGTACCCTTGAAGAGGGGGAGCCACAAAGCCCCCCTGACTGCAGGCCATTGAGGCTCACTTTGTGAACCCCGATGAGGAAGGTGGGGTTTGCTGGGAGTGCGTTGTCTGCTTGCTTCTTCAGCCCTCTTGATGTTTTCAAGTTAATGGAATTCAACACATTCAGAGCCAAATTTGATATCTTCCCTCTCCAAAAGCAGATCCTGCCTCGAGCCCTTTATGGGTGACTGGTCAGCATTTGAACACCCAGTACTGTGAGCCAGAAGTCTGGAGGGGCGAACTGTATATATTCCTCTCTCAGCATCTATATCAAATCCACCTCCACGTTCTGGAAATCTTGTCTCCAAGACCTCCCCAGAATCCTGCCGCCTCCCACCATCTCCCCTGCTACTGCCCTGGTCCAAGTCGCCATCTGCTCACACCTGAACTCTTAACAGTAGCGGCTGAATTAGTCCACCCACATCTACTCTGGTCGGCCTCCCAGGCTTTTTCCGTTCTCCTGCTATCTTGGTATTTTCAGAGCTTTGTCACCTTTACTGAGAGCTTCTTACTGTTCTTAAGACAGATCTCTGTGGGCCCACAGGCCTGATAGCCCAGCCTTGTCTCCCTGCCACGTGGTCATCCATTGCATTCGTATTCCAGTCATACCCCACCAGTCACCTTTGTCTTCACATTCTCCTGCCCGGTGCCTTTGCATATGCTTGGTGCTCTGCCTGGAATGTTTTGCTTTTCATTCTCTCCATCCTCTGTCCCTCCCAAGGGACTGTCCTCCATGAAGGAAGATGCTGAGAGTGTGTAGCAACCTAAACAGAGGTGGCTCCTTTGGGGGGGCCCAATCAAGATGCAGACCTCCAGGCTACAGATAGAGACAGATCCCTGAGTGGGGGAACAAAATCCCTTCGCACAGCAGCTCTGCGATGATCCCTCACGAGCAGGGCATGGCCCAAAAGAAGCCCAGGTGTGCTCATGTGTTGGAAAGTGTTGTCTAAGGCTGGCTCTCCTGCCATCAGTCCTCCAGGGTCATTTCTGTTGCATTTTGGGACTGCAATGTACAAGGGTACACATTTACCTTTCTGTCCCAGAGCAAATGGCTTCAGTTTATTGTGCTGTTCACTAGATATGTAACTACAAGCAGGCATATACTCAAGACCAGGGCTTGCTGCCCCGTCTGGGTTGGTAGGTTGGCGAGGTCCTAGGGTTATGCTCAGACTCGCCTCCCATTACCTCCTCCTTGGCCTGCAAGGCTGTTGTGGGTGCTTCGCGCCCCCCCTCCACGCAGTTGAAGATTGCAGGAAGGCTTGTTAATACCCTTTACAGTCACGAAGCTGGACTACCCCGTGATCTACCCCAGATACATGTTTAATGTGCCAAGCTGATAGGAAGTGTGATTCAGGCAGCTTAGAAGAAGCCGGCAGCAAACTTGCTCTCTGTAACCCAGATACCAGAAAGCATGTCACACACTCTCTGCCTCTTCGCTGTTAGGAAAAATGTGTCACGCAGGTGTGTAGTTATGCAGACCTGGTAGACCCACTGAGGATTCGGAAATAACACCTTCACCGTATTTCTTCCTGGAAACCTGTGGAAAGCACGCTAAGCTGTTGAGAATGACATGTCAGCCTGTGCCTTTAGGATCGGCTTGGACTCTTGTCGGGATTGTTTGTTGTTGATACCTGCCTGAGAGAACCTGGAGGCCCCTGAGCCATGGCGAGCGTGTTTAAATAATTCATTTAGTAAGAGCTCATAATCACATGGTAATAGCTCACTACACTTTTTAATTGAACCAGCAGAACAAACACACAGTTAATGGAGGACATTTTTGTCATTCTTCGGCCTGTGTTTATTTGCAAAACTGAAGTTAGTAAAGTGTTTTCTGCAAGTGGTTCTGTGCACGCTGGGGTGGAAGTCTGCAGGTATGTGGGCTTGTTCAAGGCTTGTCTTGCCCACACGACAGTTAAAGAAACCCAGAGGGTGCACAGGGCGATGTTGGAAGTGGAGTGTGGATGGAGCCACTCAGGCGTTCCTTCACTCCTGGTCACCTGCAGGGCTTGCATAGCCTCCTCAGTGCGCACAGGCCCTGGGCCTAGGAAAACAGGGGTGTGGGTGGGTAAGAATCACAAAGACATTGCAAGTAGGTCCTAACACAGTCTCTCCAAGGTGGCCTTGAATTTGACAAGGTGGTGAAGGGTTGGTGCTGGCAGGTTTAAGAAAACAAACACAAGACCAGGCTGCGGTGCTGACTTAGCGCCTTGCTTCCTCCTCACATCCCTCCCCTGAACTCCTGGCACCTGGTGCATACGGAGCTGCTTCAGTACCTGTCTCTCTCAAACTAGATTATCAGTGGCCTGGAGGCAAGAGCCACTTCTGTTCCTCCTGAGAGCTGCTTCAGCTCCAGTGTTTTTCCTCAATGGGCACAGCGTTTTTCCTCAATGGGCACTCTTCAGCGAGCATGACTTGGCTCCAAAACCCCGTCAATCTGCCTCTTAACTGGGGTGAATTCCTTTTTCATCTGCTTTCTGGGCAACGGTGCAAGGTGCAGTACATCAAGTTCGTAGTCTTGCTGTTTAAGTGCCAGCTGAAAAGGTGGTAATGGCCATCATTTTTAAAAAACATAACTCTACTCGTTGGCTTCCAATGAAGAGTTTGGAAGTAGATTCTCTCTAAAGCAAGACACAAACCTCTAAAACCAGAAGAGAGATCGCTAACCTTGACCTGGAATAATAAAATTTCTATAAGAGCAGCATTCCATAGTGGGCTACTTCCTATAATGTGTAAAGAGCTTGTGCAAATCAGCGTGACCAGCCATGCCCTAGAAGACTTGGTAAAGAAGAGAAACAGGTGACAGCTCACAGGAAGAGATGCAAATGGTTTTGTAAACCCGTGAAAGGGCGCTCACCTTCACTTAATTAAATGCTAATTACAACAAGAGATACTTCTTTACCTATCAGGCAGCGATCAGAAAGTTTGATGATAATGTTGGGAAACAATTTCCTGTGCGGGTGGGAGGACAGACTGACAGGACTTCATTGGCGGTAGTTTGTGGTTGTCTGGGATTGTGCACGTCCTCTGAGTCAGCACTTCCGTTTCTAGGTTCTTTTCTTACTGATCGAACCACACACGTGGCAGATAGGTTCAAGAGTGTTCAATGTGGCTTTGATTAATAGCCAAAGGCCAAAACAACCTTATTGCACATATGTCAGAACTAAGTAAATAATTTATTTGTATTTCCAGACAGTGAAATACTACACACTCATTAAAAAGGTCAATAAATGGCATCAGCAGTTACCACTGGGATGGGGGTTTTCATTTTCTGCCCTCTTTGTACTGCTTGAATTTTGCACCCTGTGCACTTATTGTTACAAATAGCCAAAATGGTCAGGGAAGAAGGCTCTGATGTGAATGTTAACGCAATTGATCTTTTTCCTTTGCCTGTAGAACCGGACAGCATCATTGAAAAGGCTTCTCACTCGGGCATGATCAACCCCAGCCGGCAGTGGCAGACCCTAAAGCAGAACACGGGGGTGGCCCACTTTGAGTATCAGATCCGCGTCACCTGCGATGACTATTACTATGGCTTCGGCTGCAATAAGTTCTGCCGACCCCGAGATGACTTCTTTGGGCATTATGCTTGTGACCAGAATGGCAACAAAACTTGCATGGAAGGCTGGATGGGCCCCGAATGTAACAGAGGTATGTGGGGTATGCCGGCTGGGTTAACCAGCTCTGGGTGGCTGTCGCTTTTGGTGGCAAGTTCTCACCCCACCTGTGCTCAGGTGGCTATCTTAGGTGGGGTGAGATTTTGGGTTTTTTTCTGTGCCCTACCCACCAGCTGCTTTTAGGATTGGCTGCTCACAGCTCATAGCTTTTCCTCCTCTGAGCATTGTCGTGGCTAAGCAGAGGCTACTCCATGTCCCATCCCTGCAGCTCCATCTAAATCAGTGACATGTCCCCTCTGCCTAAATCTGCTACAATTCATGCTCCAGAGCATCTCCTGGGATCAGGCTGAAACCAGACTCCAGCTGAGACCATGTCCTTGCTCAGCTCCTACCACCGCCCCATCTGTTGCCCTCCCCGCTCCCCCCTGTACCCGAGACCCTTTCTCAGGCTCTGCTTTCAAGGAACCTGACCCGAAACAGATACCAAGGTGGGACTGGGTTAACCCAGTCAATGTCTGAGCAGATGATCCTGTAGGAAATGACAGCCCCTGAGCTCGAGGTGGCCTTATAGCAAACTTTCACTGGGCATCTCTTAGGGCTGTGGCATTGAGGGAGGAGCGAGTGGTGAGCCGGAGTTTTCATACTTGGGTATAATTGAAGCCATCCTCGATAGCACAGGCACATCTCGGAGATACCACGGTTGGGTCCTGGACCTCCACAATAAAATGAGTGTTGCAATAATTCCGGTCTTAATCTTTTTGCTGGTGGAGGATCTTGCCTTCAATTTGTAAAAAAATAAAAATAAAAAAATAAAAAAGAAACCCCACATCTGCGAAGCACAGTAAAGAGAAGCACGTAAAACGAGGTCTGCCTGCATAAGCTTTGCAGCTCTGCTACCTACTGTCCCAGCCCCTCCTAGAATCAGTGAGTTATCACATGCACAGACATCCACAGAATTCTCTGTGGTCCTTATACCATTAAAAATCCTAAGGCATAGCAAACTGGTGGGTAATTCCAGTTAACCACAATAGGCCCTCACGGACATTAATGTGCTCGCTCATTCTGCATAAATTTGATAAATCTTTTTAAGATATACTCAAATTAAAAACAAATATTTGAGCTGTGGTTGAGGGGCAGGGCAGAGAGAGGCATTTGCAGGTCTCTGTGGCCGTATTGTTTTCTTCAATAACAGGACAAGAGTTTTAAAAGGATGGCATTTCTGGGACCCAAATGAAAGAATTGATAAATATGTTTTAAGTAGTTGGTGTTCTAAAAACCAATAACAGGTTTATCTGTTTGGTATTTTTTATGTCAATTTTTTTTTTTTTTAAATAAAGGCAGCAGAATTGCTTTGTGAGGATACTTTACAAAAGTACCAACCGATCTGGTGCTGAATGGGCCAAATGAAGGCAGCCTGGTTCGCTTTGTTAATCCCACAGGATTTTTGAGACACCAGGCATTTGGGGGGAGCGTTAAGGAGGCTGGGGCTCATCTGAACTCTGCCCTGATGGGACAGAGTGGGTGAGACGAGGAAGGATTACACCTCCCTTTTTTCTTTTGTCAAGGGTGGGAATTGACAAGGGAGCAGGGTAGCTATTGTTCAGAGAGACTGGATGAAGGTCCCCTTCCCCCATCAGCTTGCCTGCATTTTTGTCCCCAAACAGTATCATGTTTTGAGGATCTGCTAGCGTGGCCTTGAAGTTTAAAGCTGGATTTGTTATTTGGGCACCTCCCATCTTCCTCTCTTTACAATGGACTTGATATGAGTTCTCTTAAAGTCGTGGATTTTGTAGGCTTAACTAGGCCATTCTCATGGCGGTGGCGGTCCAGAAGCGGGCAGGGTACTGATGCAGCCTTCTGTGTTTCTTACAGCAATTTGCCGACAGGGCTGTAGTCCCAAGCACGGGTCTTGCAAACTCCCAGGTGACTGCAGGTAAACAACTACACTGTTTTTCTGTTGTTGATTTTTTTGTTATTCTAATAATTATTTTTGTGATGCAAGCAGGGGAACTGACTTGACTGTGAATATGTTTCTTTTGAGAACAGGAAAGCTTACAATTCAAATAGGCACATCCGAAGCTTATTAAATTATACCAGCTGTCCGGTGGAATGCACACACTCCTCATAGGGGAAAAAAAAAAAGGAAACACTTAGGAGCATACTCAGTGACTTCATGGACTAACTCTTCTGTAAATTGATAACATGTTTTTTGTAATCTTCCCTCAACGTGCTAATGGACTAGATGGAGGGATGTGGGTACGTTCCTTTGCCTGTGTATCCGTCCCCCCTGCACCCCCCCGCCCGGTTTTCCATCTCCCAACCCTCCCCCACTTTTCCCATCAATAGGGAACGTGGAGCATTCTTTAGAATGGGATTAGTACAATCTCCTGGCCCCTCTGCAGGCGGGAGACAGGCCGGTGCTGAGAGGTTAATGGCTGTGCTGGAATCTTGTCAGTTGAGCCTGATGAATGTAGACTTTGCTGCTGGCCTTTGAAGTCTGTTCTTTTATGGTCCCAGACAATGCAGAAGCCAAACCGAGACCTACCCCGACTGCCTCACTGCTTCGTGATTACAGTTTTGGGAACTTTTTGAAATGCACATTATGCCAATTTGGGAAAGGCTTCCTTCAGGAAATATTGTTGCTGCTGTGGCATTTTGACACAATCTCACAATTTACTCTGCCTCTTCCCAAGGATTAGCAGATTTAATGTGACACTACCTGGGTCCTTTGGGCCTGTCACTTTTGCCCCCAAAGCTACCCTGGTTTGAGCCAAGGGAAGCTTACAACACGTGTAAGCCAATGTTACATGGGGCCCTGTCCCAAGGCAGACCCTGAGTCCATAGGTCGGGGGTGGGCCCAAGTCTCTGCATATTTGACAAGCCCCTGCACGCTGCTGTGGCTGGTGGGACCCTACTTTGGGAATCACTGTCCCCAAACTCTGGGACTCCTGAGTGGAATCCCCCAGATTAATCAGGGAACCGTCAAAATGCAGATTCCTGGGCACCACCCCACAGACACGAATCTCAGCCTCTGAGTCCGGCCCAGGAATCTGCATTTCGAGAAGCCGGCCCCATGATTTTGCTGCTCAGATTTTGAGAACTGCTGCTTGATAGTTATCTGTGGCCTTTGGGAACCCCACCCCTACATCTGTTCCCCATCCAGGCAGCAGGGAGCACTGGGCTCTGAGGCTGGCAGCTGAGGTGGGAATGAAGGCAGCTGGAAGTGAAAGAAAAACAAACCTGAACAGTGTCTCTCCCTGCACTTCAGAAGGAGACGATTATTTTCTGGAAAGCTGAGGGGTTTGCAGACTAACCCCCAGAGGTGGCGGCTGACTGTAGGTCTGACAGCATTGCTGTCAAGTGTTGAGCTGGCGTCCACCTCCTTCAGCTCTCTAATTAAGGGTGTTCTGGAGAAAGTCAGCTCAGCAGTGCCATTAGCCACTCTGGGCCTGCTCTGCGCTCAGATGGGTATCAGGGAGGCCAGCCGCGATTTCTGCTACTGTCATCAGAATGAACGTGCGGCGCAGGGGAGGGCCCTCCCAGCCAGAACAACAGGCTTTGTCTCCAGAATTTATTCCTTTCTCTTTCGGAGTCTCACCTCCCACTCCCTGCCCAGACACGCACCAGTGCCCTTATTTACTTAAGGTGCGACTTTCCCACACGTCATTTGCATAGTCTCTCAACCCATCTCCTTCTCCCTGCCTTGAAGGAAAATCAAAACAGAACCTTCTAGCTGAGGAAGTTCAGGTTGTGCCCTGCACCAGAAATAGTGGAATGGCAAGTTACCTGTAAGTTGTCTTTCGGATTATGTATTACAGAGGTGGTTGTGGTTTTTTTTTCTCTTCCACATGAGAAAACTTGATGGGTCCTGTAGTTCCCAGGTTGACTTAGAGTCCTTTTCCTGGGCGCATATGCGCGCTTTATTGCAAGCCTGCCAATAATATCAAACTTAATTATGAATCATCATGTGAGGGAAGTCACTTCAATTTCTCATGAGAACCTTAATCATATACTATTAAACCAGGATAACTTTGTGATGCCTCTTTTAGGGTCAGTATTTTTATTTGTTTTCTTTTGAAGTCATCCGTGGCCTCTTGTGGTTCCTTTTTTTTTTTTTTTTTTTTTTTTTTTTTTATGCTTGGGGATCCAGCTCTCATTAATTAGGAGGTGAGGTTGGGTCCTCAGCTGCCTCTTCTTGCTTTTATTAGACAAACTCAAGAGGTATAACCTTAATTTGAAAGGGAAGACGAGAAGGTGATTAGAATATTGCTACTTTCATGTCAGTTTCCTCTTAATATCTTTCAAGCTAAGAATATCACTTTTTAATCAAATGGGTCCCCTCCACCTCCCACTGACTTGGATGTTCAGTTTTTAAAAATGTCTATCAGATGATTTATCTCGCTTCTTTAAATAGTCACTTGTTACCTGGACTGATGTTTAGTGTTACATAAACCGGAATCCTGTGTCAGATTAATATTGAACCACGAATTCCAGTGGTTCTCTGGATGGGGTGTGGCCCACTTGTTGGTGGAGGCTGGGAAGCAGGCAGTCTTCTCGGCCGTGGTGATTAGCTGTTAGCCGGGTCCCTAGAATTTTCCCATGACAAGGATTTGCTAGCCTGCCTCCCGCTTTCTGGAAACCAAAGCCTTTCCTCTGGGGGTGCCTGTTCTCCACAGTTACAGCTGAGCAGCTCAGCAGGGGAGCCGGTTCCGACCATGCCATTTCCCAGGTCCCGGTATGGAAACACTTGCCTCACCCCACCTTCCTTCCACCCTCAGGCCTGCCCAGCCCCCACTCCTGCTTGAAAGCTTGATTTCTGAGAAGGCAGTTAAAGTTTCAGAAGGCTTGAAACTTGAGGGGGGAGTGGTTGAGACCCTGCCCTCTCTCCCATCCCAGGTGAAGGTTTATGTTTGTGTTTTTGTTTGGGGATCAAAGGCACCATTTGGCCTCGAAAGAGTCCGATTAATGAGGCGCTTAGAAAGGTAACTCAACTCCCTTCCCCAATAGTAGATAAACTGAATTGACCTTTTTTTTTTTTTTGGCAAAGTGAGAAATAACTATAAAATAAATTAGCATAAGCAGCCATAGTCGTGGGTCATAAATTATCTATGGAATTGGTTCGGAGAGCTGTTGCTTCCCTCACCCTCCCTGCAGGAGCGGGTTCGGGGATCCTACCCTCCTCTTTGCCAAAAGAGGCGCCCCTTTCCCTCCTTGTTTGATTCCATAAAGCCTCATCGTGAGGCTGTTTCCTGCCGCACTTGGTGTCCTGTTGCATTTTTGTGTGCTGGGGTCGTGACTCACTGTTTAGACAAAGGGCTGAGCCAAGCTGCTGTGTAAAATTGCCCAAAGTGCTGTGTTTGCGGAGACTTTCACATGGCTATTGTTGTCACCAGAGAGTCCTTCCTTTCCCTCTATAGTCGGCCCTGGGCTTGATTTATTCCACCCTCGGCTCATTCCTGGGAGCCTGAGAAGAGTGGCTTTGTGCCGGGCAGCCCCACACTGGCCTCTCTCCCCGAACAGCCCTCCCTTTGTCATGCGTCGCCTGGGAGGGGACCTTGGCCCAACTATGAAAATGTTTGTTTAGAGGGAGCCCCAGACAAACCTGGAGAGTCTAAAATCCTGTCCCCAAAAACAAAACAGAAAAAATCCTGCGCTCTGCAGCCTGGTCTGGTAATGGCACCGATCTCCCTGAATGTTGTAGAGACTAAAGGAGGGTGTGCTGTCTCTCCCCAGGTGCCAGTATGGCTGGCAGGGCCTGTACTGTGACAAATGCATCCCGCACCCGGGGTGCGTCCACGGCACCTGCAACGAGCCCTGGCAGTGCCTCTGTGAGACCAACTGGGGCGGACAGCTCTGCGACAAAGGTACGCCTCGGGGAGGGGCCCTCAGGGACGGGGGCCCCTGAGGATGGGATGTTGGGGAAGGAGCATGAGGTCTTGGGGGTGGGATGGCAGTCATTTGGCTTTATTATTTCCTTATGTTTATTTGTAGGGTGTCTTTTAAATTATGAATCAGGAATCTGCTTAAATTTGCCTTTAGGCTCCAGTTTTGTTTTGTTTTCCCTTTTTTTTTATTAAGGGATAATTGACATGCAGTAGTAGGTGTACAGCACAGTGATTTGCAGACATTGTGAAATGGTCCCCACAATAAGTCTGGTGACCATCTGCCCCCTTACAACGTTAATACAATGTTATCGACTCTTCGGCGTTATATCCCCATGACTTATTCATGACTTCCGGCATTTAAAAGAAGGGGACTAGAAGCGCAGCGGGTTGGCAGTCTTTACATCGCTGAGCCACTGACTTCTTTGGGATCTTCTTGGCAGATCTCAATTACTGCGGGACTCACCAGCCGTGTCTCAATCGGGGAACGTGTAGCAACACGGGTCCTGACAAGTACCAGTGTTCCTGCCCTGAGGGCTATTCAGGACCCAACTGTGAGATTGGTAAGTGGTCCAGGCGGAATGAGATCCCTTCGCTTAATTATTTTGTAACTCGGCTTTAAAAAATGTACTTAAGGACTCATAAAAAGATGAGCATATCCTCCTAAGTGAAGACTTGCCATCTCAGCAGTCCTGTGGGTCTTTGAAACTTCCTTCAGGTCGAACCCGTGTTTTGGGTGATGCACATGGGCCATGGGAGGCAGTTTGTTTGTGATGCCATGACCCCGACTCTAAGATGCTTAGGGATGTGGCTGGAAATAGCAAGAGAGATGACTTCCTTTCTTCCCCAGACACAGCAGGCTTATATCACACACTTGCTTTTAGTTTTTGAAACGACCTTGAGCTGGTGGCCTGGGTATGGGGTCTGGGTGTGGGGAGAGGGTATAGGTAACGTCCCTTGCTGATTGCCATTCTGGTCTTTGCAGCGGAGCACGCCTGCCTCTCTGATCCCTGCCACAACAGGGGCAGTTGCAAGGAGACCTCCCTGGGGTTTGAGTGTGAGTGTTCTCCGGGCTGGACCGGCCCCACGTGCTCCACAAGTAAGTCGAGTTTCAGCCTGTGTCCTTTCTAGAGGGTCATTGTGTGGAGGTTCGGGGTCGGGCAGATACCTGGGCTCGTGGTCCAGTGTGAGGTCTTGGTGAGGGGTGTCCTGGTGGGAGGGGATGCATGCAGCCTGCAGTCTGGTGGGGAGTAGGGCTTGAGCTCCCGGCCTTTGTCCTTGGAAGTCCCCCCATCCTCCCTGCTAAGTGAGCACATGTGTCTGCTACTGAAAGAAATGGGCTCACGGCATAGCTCCTAACTTTGCATGTGCTCCCTGAAGCTCTGCTCCTCTAGATAGAATCAGGGAGCATCTCTCTGCAGGGGAGGTCATCACCCCTGAATTTTGTCATGAGAGCAGGTGGCCCTGAAAGAGGGACTCGGGCTATAGAGCCAGCATGGCTGCCATATTGGGCTGCCCATCAGAGCCACTGGGTGCTTGACAGTACAGTTCTCCGTGTCCCCCAGTTTCCCTTCGGAATTAGGGAGTCATATCCTTTAACCAGCCACGGATTTCAGAGGTGCAGCCAGGCCAGAGAAAACCACTGTCATCAGCACCCCGAGGGCAGCAGGCAGCACGGTTGAGGATGTGGGTTCTGGGGTCAGATGGCCTGGCTGACACTGTGGCCTCCACCCATCCCTTGTGGGACTCTGACCACAGAACTTCCCCGTGCCCTGTTTAAACGGACTAGCGGCAGTGCCCATCTCCTGGGGCTGTGAAGACTTGGTGAGCGAATTCACGGAGAGAGCCTGGCACCTCATAAGTGGGCAGTGAATGAGTGGTTAAGAGGCCTCCACAGTGCAGTGCAGAAGTGAGGCGTGGGGCCCCCAGGCATGTTGTTTTGGGACAACTCTGAGCACATACGAAGACTAAGCTTTTCCACCATGAAAGAAGAATTCTTTTTCCTTAGTTGTTCTTAGCTTCCTCTGAGCCATGATGAAACTTTTCTTTAAAAATAGCCCAGGGGTTGATGCTCTGGGGATCCCTGCCTGCTTAGGTTGGGGATTAAATGATCTGGGGCAGTGGGGGATTTAAAGCTAAAATCAGTCCCTTACAGCAGGTGTCTGGCTGTTCAGTGAAGGCCCCTCGTGTGGTATTAAATTGTCTTAATTGTCAAACGGATTGAGATTAAATTGCCAACCCTCTTCCATTTTTCTCAGACATTGATGACTGTTCTCCAAATAACTGTTCCCATGGGGGCACCTGCCTGGACTTGGTTAATGGATTTAAGTGTGTGTGCCCACCCCAGTGGACTGGCAAAACGTGCCAGTTAGGTAAGCAAGTGCCTGCCCCAAGGTTGGCTTTGATCATCAGAGCCGTTGAGGCAGATGAGTATGTGGCCCACGGTGTGGGTCTGCACACATCATACTTGAAAAGTAATTTATTATCGAGAGTCCAGCCGGCCGGCCGGCCTGGGAGAAGGCGTTCGAATGCAAATGGCTGAGCTCTTTCAGGCCCTGTGGGAAAGTGGTGGGACTCCTTGAACCATGTCAATCGTCTGTCCGAGGAGTGTTCAGCTGGGCTCCAAACGGGGATGATCTCATGAGGAATGAGCTGTCTGCATTCTTTTTGCCACATTTAAATCCCAGCAACTAGGCGGTGCCAGGTTTTACACAGAAATGCCTGGTGGCTTTCTGCTGTTCTGCTGGGGCCCCTTGTTCATCAGCAGCCAGAGAGTTACCCATTAGCATTCCTTATTGGATAATGACTAGGGAGAGGGATCTGAGGCTCAAAAGAGAGGGCACCTAGGATCTGTTACTTAGCTTATTAAACTGTCTCCTATTTTAGACAAATGATTGGGGCAGTGTTTGGGGGAGGGAAGGGACCTGGGGGAGTAAAACTCCTTTCCTCGCTGCTCATCCTCATTTTCTTTCAGATGCAAATGAGTGTGAGGCCAAACCCTGTGTCAATGCCAAATCCTGTAAGAATCTGATTGCCAGCTACTACTGTGACTGCCTCCCAGGATGGATGGGCCAGAACTGTGAGATCAGTGAGTGACTTTGTTTTGATTTTGACTTTCATGAAACGTGGGTGTTGAAGGCCTTTGCCAGTCCATAGAAGACTAGGGTGGTAAAAGAAACACCTGGTGGAGGAAATGTTTTAGAAGAGGGAGTGATCAGAGCAGAAATGGAAACATGGCGTTTATCAGGCCCATTAGCCGGGGGAAGGGCCCCATGCTGATAAGAGGGCTAAAACAAGGTGAAGTTTCACCAGCTCAGTCTTGGGAGAATGAGGGAGGGTTCCCACCCAGGGCAGTAACCTTATCTCGCTGGAAGCTCACAGGAAATCTGATTTGAAGGGTTTATCTGTTTGGACGGAGAAGGCTTTTCAATTAAGCCCAATTTCAATGTAAATTGCCTCTTTAATATGATGGCTTGTTGTTGTTTTTTAGATATTAATGACTGCCTTGGCCAGTGTCAGAATGACGCCACCTGTCGGGTATGTAAATCTTCACTTAAATCGAAACCTTAATGATCAAAAGCCAACTTAAGATGGATGTGACCCTGGGAGAGCTCTGGGAGGTTTAAAAATGCAGGTGAAAGTGAGTCTCTGGAAGTTTCCCTTGGGCCCAAGTTACCCCAGCCTCCGGGAGTCATCTCCAAGGCACGTTTTGGGAGGCTCGGCCCTTGGCTAGTCTAATGAATCAGCTGAGCCTCAACCGTCGTGCTAAACCGCAACAGCCCTGTGTTGTGGATGCATAGAAAGAAAGCCTGTGTTTCTCCCCCTCCTTCTCCTCTTCCAGGATTTGGTTAATGGTTATCGCTGTATCTGTCCACCTGGCTATGCAGGCGACCACTGTGAGAGAGACATCGATGAATGTGCCAGCAACCCCTGTTTGAATGGGGGTCACTGTCAGAATGAAATCAACAGATTCCAGTGTCTGTGTCCCACTGGTTTCTCTGGAAACCTCTGTCAGGTGAGCCGTGCTGGAGCCTCTGGCCGAGTTTTTACAGGGAGTCTCCTCCTGCTCCCCCCTCCCTGCTTCCCCTTCTCCTCCCCCCCTCCTTCATCTTCCCTTTCTCCCCCCTCCCCTCACTCCACTCTTGACTCTGTGAAATCTATTAACCTCCCATTGGCTAGGGATCTCCGCTAGACAAACGCTGGTGGAGAGAGATGGAGTGGTTTTCTTGGTAGTGTCAGTTGCCTGTCCATTTCATCCCTGCCACTCAGCCCTCTCTGATTCTACTCTGCTCTTTCCAGTGTCCACCTGGACAGTCTCTAGGACCTAGCTGTGTGTTATGCAGGCTGTTCTAACAGAAGCAGATGAAGGGGTCAGATTCCAGTGTCCGCTGCCCCCGAGACGGTATAATCACACCTTTGTCTTCCTGTTTCCTCTCCCGCTGCCCTGCTCCTGCTCCTTACAGCTGGACATAGATTATTGCGAGCCCAACCCCTGCCAGAATGGTGCCCAGTGCTACAACCGTGCCAGCGACTATTTCTGCAAGTGTACCGAGGACTACGAAGGCAAGAACTGCTCCCACCTTAAAGACCACTGCCGCACGACCCCCTGTGAAGGTACCTCCCTCCCCCGGCTCCTGGCCTGTGTCCGAGGCTCGCTCCTCCCTCACTGCCCCTTCATACTCTGGGAACTGGTGTAAGTGAGGAGATCAAACCCCTAATCTGACTGCTCGGGGAAGTCAGAACACATGGAAGCAATCGAGTCGGGCCTGCCTGTGGGAGAACCATGCCTGCAAGTAGCCCAGGGGAGAGAATGAAGCGCACTTAGCATTCCTCATCTGGGGTGGGCTGATCTGCAACGCTGAGACAAATTCCTCAGAGCAGCACTCTCAGGAAGACTTCCTGTGGCAGTGGAATGTCCCGTGTCTGTGCTGTCAGGCACAGTAGCCATAGGCCACGGGGCGTGTGGCCAGTGGAGCACTTAGAGTGTAACTAGTGCAGCTAGAAACGTTTATTTTACTTAATTTCACATGGTTTACATTTAAATAGCCACGTGTGGCTCGTGGCTGCTGAATGGGGCACAGCCTTGCAGGTTCTGGAAGTGTGTCCTTCAGAGCCCACCTTGAGCACGATGCAGTGGGGAGCGGAGCTGGCAGTGGTTCTCAACCTTCCTAATGCCGTGACCCTTTAATACAGTTCCTCATGTTGTGGTGACCCCCAACCATAAAATTATTTTCGTTGCTACTTCATAACTGTAATTTTGCTACTGTTATGAATCATAATGTAAATATCTGATATGCAGGATGTATTTTCATTGCTCTCGACCCACAGGTTGAGAACCACTGCAAGAGACGTCCCGGGTGGGAGGAGAGGGGCCCTCAGGCATATAGGCTTTGCTAGCCACATCGGGAAAACGTGCCCTTAACAAACTCAAATTTAAACGTTCCCGTCGGCCTGGCATCTGATGCTGTCACAGTGGGACGTGGCATGCTGCCAGAGGCTTGGCCCCCAGGTGCCTCTTGATTCCTTACCCTCATTACCAAAGGTGCCTGTCACTAGGAGCGCAGGCTTGGCGTACGTCCTTGGCGTGAGAATGCCGTGTCCTGTGGGTCAGCGGCCATAGTCTGATCCCGAGTGTGTCTTCTAGTGATTGACAGCTGCACGGTGGCCATGGCCTCCAACGACACGCCTGAAGGGGTGCGGTATATTTCCTCCAACGTCTGTGGTCCCCATGGGAAGTGCAAGAGTCAGTCGGGAGGAAAATTCACGTGTGACTGTAACAAAGGTTTCACCGGGACGTACTGCCACGAAAGTAAGACCCTCTCCCTGCCTCTGCCCAGCTTGGGGGGGTGCCGTTTGTGTCTAAGTTGTTTCCATGGAGACGAGTGAAGGTTTGCAGTTCTATCCAGGATCTACAAGACTGAGTGTGTTTAACTTTTGATCATGGATGCCGCCTCGCCTTCAGCACATTCATCTTAGAATGTTCTGGAATTCTTGTAGTTTGGGTGGTCTCGCTTTCTGCGGGAATTTCTTTCCCACACCCACGGAGCAGCTTAGCCTGTGAGGGCATTAGATAACAGGGACAGTGCTCAGGGGAGTCCTGCCTGGTGCATTTGAGAAGCAGTCCTGATGGAATTGAGGATTTTTGAGCCACCAAGTGCGTCCGTCTCCTCAGGTGGCGGCCTATAGCCCAGTGCCTGGCTTTCCTGGTCCTTTATTGACCTGCTTTTTTTCTTTTCTTTCTCAGATATTAACGACTGTGAGAGCAACCCCTGCAAAAACGGAGGCACCTGCATCGACGGTGTCAACTCCTACAAGTGCATCTGCAGTGACGGCTGGGAGGGGGCCTACTGTGAAGCCAGTGAGTCTGCCCTTGGGACAGACAGCGCTGGGTCGTGGAGGGCGGGGGTCGATAGAGGGAGCCTTTCTTTTTAATGAAATCTCTGTGAGGGAGACCCCAGCTGCCCCTGCAGTGGGACGGCGTCGCCCGGGTCCCGCTCGCGTTTGTTAATGTGGGGGACGGCCTGTGGGAAGGCACTTCTGCTGAGACGCTCTCAAGTCAGACTGTGTAATTGGGATGATTAATGTCCCTGCTTGCAATTAAGGAGCCCCCTTTCTGTTTGGATTATAATTTCTGCCCGTCTCTTGATTTTAATTTTGTGGGAGGGTCAGGCCTGCCCCTGACTTGCCTAACTTGGGGCGTTAGAAGTGAGCTAGTCGGGGGCTTCTTTACTCCTGAGAAGAGGGTGATGGCGTTCAGGTCCTGGGCTTGCTCAGCTGGTCTTGGGACTTGGACCAGAAAGCAGGGGTGGAGGTGGCCGTGGGAACAGCGTGGCTCTCATGGGTTGTGAGGTCCCGGATGGACGTGCTTTCAGCTGGGTGTCTCCTCTTTGGTTCTAGACATTAACGACTGCAGCCAGAACCCCTGCCACAACGGGGGCTCCTGTCGAGACCTGGTCAACGACTTTTACTGTGACTGTAAAAACGGGTGGAAAGGAAAGACCTGCCACTCCCGTAAGTGGTCGCCGGCTGGGATGCTGTCTCCCTCTTCGGCGAGGGGGCCGGTCAGGGGCTCACACTGACATCTTCCTCCTCCAGGCGACAGCCAGTGTGACGAGGCCACGTGCAACAATGGTGGCACCTGCTATGATGAAGGGGATGCTTTCAAGTGCATGTGTCCGGGAGGCTGGGAAGGAACGACCTGTAACATAGGTAACTTCCTGCCCCACGTGAGCCCCTACAAGTGGTTTCCTGGGGTCTGGCTCTTGCCCCCTCAGACTCTTTGGATCCTTAGGTCTTGTCTGTTTTTTGTTTTACAGCCCGAAATAGTAGCTGCCTGCCGAGCCCCTGCCACAACGGGGGCACCTGTGTGGTCAACGGCGAGTCCTTCACGTGTGTCTGCAAAGAAGGCTGGGAGGGGCCCATCTGCACTCAGAGTGAGTGTCCGCCCCCCTCTCCCCAAGCACTCCCTTCCCCCAAGGCTGAGGGAGCGCAGCCTAACACCCCCGGGGACTCAGGGAAAGGGGGGGTGAGAACCAGAGGCAGCAGAGCTGTGTGATGTCGGCCTCTGCATCACCTGGCTCTGTCCTAATGACTTGATGGGATGCAGCCCTGACCTGGGCATGAGAAAGTCGGGAGGAGATAAGTGGAGACAGATGGTGTCTCGTCCTCAGCTCCGTCTGAGAAGCGCCTGTCTCTTTCCATTCTCACACGCCTTCCCAGCCCTGCCAGGGCCTCTTCCTGTGGACATGGGTCCCACGGTGAAGGGAACAAAGTGTGGCGCAGGCCTGGTTCCAATTGAGCAGGGTCTTAAGTGCATTCTGCTGGTGTTACCGGCGACGTTATCATTTGGGCATTAGGGAACTCGGCGGGGTTTTTGCTGAGGGCTAAGACTGCTTCCCTGTTAAGTTGTCTTTTTATTTTGCAGATACCAATGACTGCAGCCCTCATCCCTGGTAAGTGTGACCACCTTTTAAGCCGTATGTACATTGGCTGTAATGTGCATGGGCATTTGTCTAAAATAAAGGTTCTGATTCGAGAGATCAGGTGGGCTGCAGACCCTGCCTTTCTAACAAATGCCCTGCTGGGCTGTGGACCACGCTGTAATTCGCCAGGTTGTCTTGATTTAGAGCACTGATTCTCAACCTTGACTGCCCATGAGAATCACCTGGGAGCTTTTCATAAGCCCCAGTGCCCGGGATGCAACTGACACCTGTCTAAGACTCTCTGGGGGTGGGTGGGACCATCAGCGTTTTTAAAGTCCCCCGGGCAGCAGTGAGTGTGGCCAGGGTGAGAGCCGCTGATGGCAACAGGCGTGGCTTCCTGTTGACTGGCAGCCGGAGCCGTGGATCGGGAGGTTGGTAACTTAGGTGGTCTTTGCTCTCTTCTCAGTTACAACAGTGGCACGTGCGTGGACGGAGACAACTGGTACCGGTGCGAGTGCGCCCCTGGTTTTGCCGGGCCTGACTGCAGAATAAGTAAGGACTGCCCTCAGCCGGGTTTCCAGTGGCTTTATTCCCCCCTCGCCACCCCTCAGCCTGAGACTGTTCATCTTTAAAGCAATTAGGCTGTGATTTGGGATTCCCTTTATTGCCTGGCAAGGCTCTCTAATCGCCCACCTCCCACTGGCTAGACCCTTAGGTACCCGTTGGCCCTCCCATGGGTGGCACAGCCCTCCTTGTTTTAGGGGCGAGGGCACCAGCCACAGAACTTGACGATTAAGCTACTCTGAGGCCCTAAGGAAAGGGTGTGCTTTTCCCCGTGACTAACATGCAATTCTGGGCAAGTGGACATTAACCACAGCTACGCTGGTGGAGCACAGAGCTAACACCAATGGTTTTCCCAAGACTTGGTGGAAGGATTAAAACAGTGGGGGCAGGCAGTGCCGTTTATCAGGAACCTTAGAGTTCATTCTTTATTTTGAGCCTTTCCCCTACCTTTTTATATGCCTTTTCTTTTACAAAAGTGACAGAATAGTTGTGTGTGTTTTCTAGTCCCCAAGTTAAAGTGTCACTGGTGTTTGGGATCCCCTGGTCTGGGACTGACTGGCCTCCGGCACTGGATGAGGGTGCATTGTTTCTATCTCATGTCTCTAAATCGGGTTGACATACGGCCTGGGAGTCAAATCTGGCCCGCTGCCTGTTTTTTAAATAAAGTTTTATTGGCATACAGCCATGCTCATTCATTAACACTGTCTGGCTGCTTTCAGCTGTGATAAGAGTTGGGTAGTTGTGACAGGAACCACATGGCCTACAAAACCTAAAATATTTGCTGTCTGACCCTTTTAATGAACATTGCCAGCCCTTCCTGGAAATTGTACTCAGAAGAAGGAACTCATTTGGGGAGGCAGCAAATTTAAATTAAATGATTCTCAGGTGTTAAAAGTCAAGCCAGTGGTGGTTGGGGGAGCTGGGACTGATGGCCTGTTTGGGTGCTGATTACATGATGAGAATCCATCCACCTCATATTTACACATCCTATGCCTTTCTATTTGTTTATTATGCCAGTGAAAACATAGTCAAACAGTGCTGCCTCCCCTTGGAGCCTAAACTTTAACTCCATTTCTCCTAGACATTAATGAATGTCAGTCTTCACCCTGTGCCTTCGGGGCAACCTGTGTGGATGAAATCAACGGCTACCGGTGTGTCTGCCCTCCAGGGCACAGTGGCGCCAAGTGCCAGGAAGGTATGTGGGCCAGACCCCGGCTGCCCGTGTGTCCTGGGGTATGTGGGTGCTCCAGACACTATAGTCACCATTTTTGGCCATGAGGTGGCATTGTGCTCAGGGGGAGAGCACGAAGGGGACATGTGGGGACCAGAGGGAAGGGGACACTTTGAGAGGTCCCCGGAGCTGTGATTATGCTGTGTAATAAGCCACCTCAGAACTCTGTGGCTACGACAAGCGTTTATTTGTGTTCTTGGGTCTGTAGGGCGGGCAGAGTGATAGGTGCTGTAGACTGGGCTCAGGTCTATCCTTTGTCCCTCCTCACCCTCCCGGCACCATCAGCTGTGTCTGGGACACGTTCTTTTCCTGGCGAATGGCAGGCTTGCAAGAGGCAGTGTGCTCTTCCAGCCACCTGGGAGACTCTGCTGACCACACATCCCCGGTGCTGCCGTGGGCACGTGGCCATGCAAAAAGCCAGTAGGGGAGGGAAGTATACTTGCTCTCCTGGAAGGAACTATTGTCACGTGACAGAGGGCAGGGGTGTAATCACTTCCTCACTGAGGGAGTAGAGAAACGAGAGATCCGTCCACAGGTAAGGAAAGTCCTTTCACTCAAGCGTCTCCACTCTCAGTTTCAGGGAGACCTTGCATCACCATGGGGGGCGTGATACCCGATGGGGCCAAGTGGGATGATGACTGCAATACCTGCCAGTGCCTGAACGGAAGGATCGCCTGCTCTAAGGTAGGGCGCGGGGGCTGCCCAGGTCACCTGAGTCCTGCATCAGCGGGTGGGCATTTCTCCTGAGCTGCCCACTCCCATCTCTCCCCAGGTCTGGTGTGGCCCTCGACCTTGCCTGCTCCACAAAGGGCACAGCGAGTGCCCCAGCGGGCAGAGCTGCCTCCCCATCCTGGACGACCAGTGTTTCGTCCGCCCCTGCACGGGCGTGGGCGAGTGTCACTCCTCCAGCCTCCAGCCTGTGAAGACCAAATGCGCGTCTGACCCCTATTACCAGGAGAACTGCGCAAACATCACCTTCACCTTCAACAAAGAGATGATGTCCCCGGTACGAGAGCTTCTTTTCAAGTTGGGGTGGTGTGTGGCTGCTTGTCCTGAGGCGGGATGGTCACATGCTGGGGTTTAGTTCTCTAGCCTCCGGTCCTGTCTTACGCACCTTACAGCAAGGTGCGGCTTACCTATCACCTACCTTCCAAGCAAACGTCAGCCTTTCTCCTCCCAGTATCTTACTCGTGTGGACTTTTCAATACTGTTCTAGGGTCTTACCACGGAGCACATTTGCAGTGAGTTGAGGAATTTGAATATTTTGAAGAATGTGTCCGCTGAATATTCAATCTACATAGCTTGTGAGCCTTCCCCTTCGGCGAATAATGAAATACATGTGGCCATTGTAAGTATAAGATCCATTCACACTTCATGCTTTGATTGCAAGGTAGTTAGCAAACTTCATTTAGCCAGGAGCAAATAAATACTTTGGAAGAGAGCTTGGCATACGTGTGTTTTCAAGTAATTTTGAATAAAAGTACAAAATCATATTGAATGAAAGCTGTAATTGGGGAAAAAAAGGGTTTTAATTTTTTAAAAAGAAAATAAAGAAATAAAATGTTACATCAAATGGAAAGAAAAGCTACTGTGGAGTGTTCCCTAGCCCTGCAGACTGACCTTTTTTTGTTTGTTCCAGTCTGCTGAAGACATACGGGATGATGGGAACCCTATCAAGGAAATCACTGACAAGATTATAGACCTCGTTAGTAAACGTGACGGGAACAGCTCACTCATTGCTGCCGTGGCGGAAGTGCGAGTTCAGAGGCGGCCCCTGAAGAACAGAACGGGTGAGTGCCGGTGGGAACAGTCCCTTTCTGGGATGGGTGCCAAATGGATCTAGCGTGCTGTCCAATAAAACCACCAGGCGCGCAGTTACCTGACCTCCCTGAGGAGCTCCCTCCACCCCACTTAACTGGTGAGGAAACAGACCCGTGGACATGACTGAAGTCATAGAGCGATGGGCAGAGGTTGACCTCACTTTTCCCCGTGCCAACAGGCTGTGTTCTCACAAGCGGGCACCCCTGTCGCACATGCACTATTCCCAGATCCCGCAGAGCCCTGTGCACAGAGCATCGCTGTGCCTTGGGCTCTTGGCGTCCCGGTGTCATGGGGCAGCCCATCCTAAGCCCCTGAGATACTGGCTTGATCAACAGCTCGATGGCCTGCAGTGCGTCCAGACGCCCCTTCCCCCGATCCTGAGCATCATTGTTCTAGGAAGGCGAGGAACCGGGCTCATGACCACTTGGGGCATTGGAGCTGTCTGCGCTCAGATGGGTTTCTGATAATTCTGAAAACCATATCCTGTAATGAGCTACCTACGTAGCCAGAGTCCCCTTGCCTGAACCCTGTGCTGCTCTCCCCACACAAAGTTGCGGAATCTGTGGGGGTGGTGCTGCTTAGCTTAGTCCTTCTGGAGACAAGCGTCAGGGCCTCCAGGACCCAGGGCCCAGCACTGCTGCTCAAGCTGTGCGTTGACAGTATGCAATTGGGAAAAGGGACCTGTCCCCACGGTGCCCCTTGTAGGGACTAAGGTCAGGGGAACCAGGGCTGGTGTTCTTTTGTTCCGAGAATTAACTGGCTGGGGGCCTGCCTTGCAGATTTCCTGGTCCCTCTGCTGAGCTCGGTCCTGACCGTGGCTTGGATCTGTTGCCTGGTGACGGCCTTCTACTGGTGTGTGCGGAAGCGGCGGAAGCCCAGCAGTCACGCCCGCTCGGCCTCGGAGGACAACACCACCAACAACGTCCGGGAGCAGCTGAACCAGATCAAAAACCCCATCGAGAAGCTCGGGGCCAACACAGTCCCCATCAAGGACTACGAGAACAAGAACTCCAAAATGTCCAAAATAAGGACACACAACTCGGAGGTGGAGGAGGACGACATGGACAAGCACCAGCAGAAGGCCCGGTTCGCCAAGCAGCCGGCGTACACGCTGGTAGACAGAGAGGAGAAGCCCCCCAACGGCACGCCCGCCAAACACCCGAACTGGACAAACAAACAGGACAACAGAGACCTGGAGAGCGCCCAGAGCCTAAACCGCATGGAGTACATCGTATAGCAGACGGCGGGCGCCACTCCACCGCTAGGTAGAGTCCGAGGGCACGCGGGGCTGTAGTTCTCTAACTGTCTAGTCCAGGCTGAGGCTGTTGATGACTTAGAATCCCTGTGTTAATTTAAGTTTTGACAAGCTGGCTTACACTGGCAATGGTAGTTTCTGTGGTTGCCTGGGAGATCGAGGGCTGCATCTCACAGCTATGCAAAATCCAGGCCCAAGTGCCCTGGGGCACGGTTCCTGCAGCCTACAGGTCTGGGACCAGCGCCCAGGAGAAGGCCTGGCCCCTAGGCCTCGAGCTGCCACTTCTGCCAGATGTCCCGATGGTGATGCAGTCTTAGGAGCATAGTTTTATTTATATTTATTGACTCTTGAGTTGTTTTTGTATATTGGTTTTATTATGACGTACAAGTAGTTCTGTATTTGAAAAGTGCCTTTGCAGCTCAGAACCACAGCAACTATCACAAATGAGTTTATTATTTATTTTTTTTATTGTATTTTGTTGTTGTTGGGGGCGGCGGGGAGGGGGGGGACTTTGATGTCAGCAGTTGCTGGGTAAAATGAAGAATTTAAAGAGGAAAAATGTGTCAAAAGTAGAATTTTTTTGTATAGTTATGTAAATAATTCTTTTTTTATTAATCACTGTGTATATTTGATTTATTAACTTAATAATCAAGAGCCTTAAAACATCATTCCTTTTTATTTATATGTATGTGTTTAGAACTGAAGGTTTTTGATAGCATTGTAAGTGTATGGCTTTATTTTTTTT